TTATTTAACTATCTATAATATTTACAAAAAATACATTTGCTGAAGTTTTCCCCTTCTTTATTCCTTTAATTCATCTATATCCTTAATTTTCTTCTTTCCATCAGCTTCAATGTTTTGGTAATTAAGATGAAACTGTGCTTAACTAATGTCGTAAGGTATTTTCTATGTCCTTCTCGTTTCCTCGTGGATAGCACATCCGACTACAATAAGAATATCCGGAGTTCGAATCCTGACGAGGGCAAAGTTTATTTTTCATATTGCCTGCATCAACAGACCTAACAATTCTACCGTAGGACTGAAAAAAAAAATTATGATAAAAATCACCATAAATAAGTAATAAAAGAATCCTGATTTATTAACATTTGCATCTTGCTAATTTCATTTCTGAAAAACCATTTATTAATTTCCTGGACATCCGTCACTTTTCAATCATCTGAACTTCAGGGACAAGTTTGAATAAAATCAAGTATATAGCAGACTAAAATTAAACTCTTTTATGCATTGCAAATGATTAAGACCGTGTGTTAAGATCGTTCGCTCTCAAGTGAATAAGCTGGCTGCATGGTTGGTTTCCGTGGTTTTCTCATGTGTGACTGAAATATGAGCCAGGTTTCCTTAGAATGCCCCTCCATGGTGGCATCCCTCACATTTGAAAGATAGCCCTCGTGTGCATTACCTTATTCAAATAAACTAAATTTTGTACATTTCTTGTTCAGTTCATTTTACAGACCATTAGTTGACTAGTTGCGCAGCAACCGATGGCTAAATGAGAATAAATTGTATTACTTGTTAGACATATGAAGAATGTCCCCTAAGGAGAAAATGTATTCGCAGAGGATCTTTCATGGGGAAACTGGCTCATATCCACGTCATACATGAGGAAATCTTGAAAACTTCCAAGAAGCCAGCACGTTCGCCGGAAACTGAAGGCTGAGTAAGAAGAGGTGCTGAATATTATTAATTGCTTCTGTTTTCGGTTTCTGAGGAACGGAAAGATTTGACGAGTTTGATATTTGTTCTCGTATGAAACCAACTATTCAATAAAAAAAATTTAAGTATTTCTCTTTTGGAAATTGAAACCTTGAAATCAGGCTATCAATCTTCTAGTTTTATCAAGAGATATGGAAACAGGAAAGACGTATTTTGATTTGTTTACTGTATAGCACATATGCAGCCATTTATAAAATGTCTAAAAAGTATAGGCAATTTTTCAAAAGCATCTGCCTAGTGATCGAGAGGATTGTGTAAGAAGCAAAATAAAGCATTTTATATCTCCACGGAGAAAATATCTAGTTAATAAAATATTCAATACATTTGTATTAAGTGAGCGAGCCAGGTCCTGTATAACGTAGATAAGTCCAGTGTTACGTTCTTTTGGTGCAAAATTTGCATTTCTTTCGATATACTCGCTTAGTAAAATTACTGTATTGATTTAGAACATAAAGACTAAAGAATTCTTTAGTTTTAGTTCAATTTGGTTAAAAAAAAATTCGCCTGAAAAATAAAGAACGTAAGAAATCAGTTATTTTCTAAGATTGAAACACTACGCAGGAAAAAAAAAACACATGAAAATGTTTTCTCAGGATTCCAGCAGAAAATATTTTCCTCTTTTCAAACTGGGCAGTCAAATGCATTTCTACTCTTGTAGGCGAACACATTTAAAACAAAACTGCTTCTGATTACTTTACTTAATTCAAATTATATTAGTGCTTGCAGTTTTCCTGTTTCCAGAATTACATTTTGGCTTTTAAAGATAACACATACTCCACATCCCCCTACTTTCCTTACCTCGGCTGACGAGCGGCCGAGCGGTAAAGTCGCTGAACACTGGTTGTTCACTCCGAGGTTCGAATCCGGCGAACGTGCTGGCTGCATGGACGTTTTCGTGTTTTTCTCCATGTGTAACGTGTATACGAGCCAGTTTTCCTTAGAAAGTCCTCCACGAAGGCATCCCTTTTCTTAGGCAGGTAACTCTCGAGGCTATACCTTAATACATAAACCAATCTTTCCTTACCTCAGGAATATTTTCGTGCCGGAATTATCTCATGAGATAATAACAATGTATTATCTGTCGAAGTTTTTATAAAAAAGTATAAAATTTTCAGAGGGATATGAAAATTTTATACTTTTTTATAAAAACTTCGACAGTAGTCGACTGTAGTCGTTTATAGGCTTTTAAATTATATGCAGCTGTAATTATAAGAACTTTGACCATATTATGTATCACATTGCGAATTTGTATAAATACAGAGGTAGTGCACCCACACAGGGTGCTAGAACTTAGGAGTAGCAGAATTTTAGAATTTAGAGAAGCACCAAGCAGCAAAATTTTTAGAATGTAGAAAAGGTACTGAGCAATAGAATTTAGTGGCAGGAATTTTTTTAGAATTTAGTGAGGCACCGGACAGCAGATACTAGGATCCTCAGCGATTGTACAGAATTGCCTAGGGCTGGCCTTGATTTGATATATATTATCATCCCAAAATCTTAGTTTATGCTATTTTATCATTTAATATCTAAAAGCCAATGGAATAAAAAATGCATGTGCATAAGGATTTCAATTACTTTATGAAATATATATGCTTCACTAATGTGTTATTATGTGTGAAGCGTTTTAAATTCTAAAAATGGACAACATTAGCAAAAATTAATTAAACAAAATGTAAGATTCCAAAATTGTTAAGCTGCCTGATTTAACATGAAATTCTTAGAATATATGCAAGAGTTCTCAAATACAGTAGTTAGAATAAGTAAATTATTTGGCTGTTGGAGATGCTTTTAATTTAGGAATATGAGTTGTGATTGAATTTTACTCAAGAAAAATCCCCAGAAATTTAAACCTTTCAAAAAAGATTTATGATCATAATTTAAAAAAATTTCCATTTCATTCATGGAATTTGCGTTTCTTTCCGAGAATATTCGTCATTATAATTTTTCAGTAATTTGAAAATATCAGATTTCAGATTAAGATTAATCATGCAGTGAATTAATTATTTGATGAAAATGTCTAAATATTCAGAAATTAAAAAACTTGAAACTAAAAAAACTTAAAGCCAATTTTTTCCAAGTTATACCACGTAAAACTTCCAAAGATATTTAAATATTTCAAAGATATTTAAATATTGTACAAACAAGAATTATTCGATTTTTAAAAAACATTTTCTTAGGTCTTTCCATTTTTTAGGAAAACCTACAATATTTATCTAAACAGCATATTGCTGAACTTTTAACTTTCCTCTAATTTTGGAGGGGATATCTGCGTATCTTGCTTCTAAGGTAGCCACGGTGAAAGGATAATTACATTCGATATTCCTAGCAATGACTACCCCATAAAATCCATAATGGATACCAGTACCCACTATTCCGGTATAAAAAGCCCCAAATGGCGCGTTAAAGCAATTTTTGTTATAATGGCCACATATTATAACGTTCTTTTTCTATTGGAAGCGAGAGGTCATCATGGCGAGCGTCATCGGCATTCAAATTATAAAAACATACTTATTTCGATTGTTAATTATTTTATACCAAATAAATTACGTTTGCTGTTAGGCAAAGAACTTATGTAATTTTCTTAAAATTAAATATATTCAAATAAGCATTAAATTTACATCATAAAATTTCCCCAATCAACGGTTCTGGGAAATGGAAAAAAATGCACAAAACTAACTTATCGGCTATTCTAGTAATTAGCAGAAGAAAAAAGTAGAAACTGTAAAAAAGATAAATTAGAATTTTAAATATAAAAAATACGATAAATGTAGAATATTCTATTTATTTATTTTTTTTAATTTTATCCAATATTATATTACATAAGAGTAAGGTTATTCAACCAAACTTCAAAAGCAGTAACGGATATGTAGCTGACAATGTATCCTGTAGAATAATTAATCTTTATCCTAAAATTAATTCCTTTACATGTATGGGAAAATATCTGACATGCGGTAATAATACAAAATTTCTGGAACTCTTTACCTAGACATCTAATGAATACAGAGGTTCCTAATTTCCTATCTCTTCGTGTTAGCAGCCTTTGTCACAGGCTTGCCTCCAGAAAATTCAAATTGCTTTCTTAATAAGCTTGGTAGTCAAACTGTCACTAGTGCAGAATCACTAATGGCTTTCATCATCTACTATTTGAATGCGCTCGAGTCCCAAGAAATGAGAATAACAATATGCGACTTCTTTTACTTTCGAATTTTCTTTCAACTATCTCCAACTACACAAACCTCTGGTTTTGTTTCTACCAAAACATTATATATATTTTCTTTCTAATTTAAATTTAAATATTGTAAATCTAATTAAACATTCTGCATTCCTAGCAAACCCCCATTTACGGACATAGAACCCTCACACGGACATAGAAAAATGATATTCAATTCTGATTGAATGAAAAATGATATTTATTTGTTTAGCTGAATACGGCAAAGCACGTAAGTGTTACCTGCTTTAAGTTGAGGATTGCCATCAAGCAAGATTTTGTAAGTGAAATTGTTTCGTAGTCGTGGCATATTCTGGTAAACAATTCCTCTCGATGGATTTGAATAAGACTTAATTAGAGGGCAATCATTCTTCCGTTTTGAACCACACTATCTCAAGATTTCTTTCAACAGTACAATTTTTCTGAAAATTCAAACTCCTTTTAAATCCAAGATTCCGTAATTACTTGAAATTAGTTCCTTTCCTCTGCATCCCTACAGTGACTTGAATATCTATCTTACGTTTATTTAATCAAATACAACAAAACATTCAAGGGCTATCTTCCTGAGAAGAGATATTAAATTAATTTTTACAGCCTTCAACTCTCAATAATTTTAAAACATTATTTTATATATCAATAAATTGCAGAAGTAAAATGACTAAAGACCGATCAGCAAACCGTTTCTTTAATCAAATCCTAGAATACTTCTGTAAGCAATTAATTTAGAATTTTGATCACGTGCTTTTGCTTTTCAAATAGTTACGTACCCGTAAACCACAAATGTCTTTTGGCAGCAGCCTGACTTTGTGTTGAACATTCATTATTTGTTACATACGAGGATTCATTTTGTGGAGCACTTTTGCACGTAAGTTGCTTCTTAAAGGAGATAACTTTTTTATTATATGGATTAGTTTTGGATATATACTACTGTGCATTATTACAAGAACTGGTAAGAATATAAATGATAAAATTTCATAGTAAAAAGCATTTGGAAGTACTTTGTTTTGCCCAATTTTGAATGCTTTCAGATAAATATGAAACATATATTAAAAGGTTTTACTTTAGGAAATGATGAATTCAGATAATATCAGGAATTTCTGTTACATTAATCTTAAACGTTTAAAGAGTTCTCCTCTCACTTACTTCTAACAAGATTAGAGAGCTGAAGAGAATCCTCATATATACTAAATCATTGCATTCTAACGCCTTGATTTCAACTATAGAATACTTTCAAGTAAACATTTTTTTCCTACCTTTAAACAATTTTCTCTTCTTATCGTTCTTTGCCTCAGATATACAAATTCGCTTTTGATTTTCTTCTCGACTTTCATCAATTTTGAAATATTTTGTGTATACAAACAATTCCTCCTCAAAAGTGTCGAATCAAATTATTTTATCTGGTTACACCCGTTTCATTTTAGTAACGCTTAGCCTTTTTCACTGCTTGTATGAGTAAAATCTAAGACAAATATAAAAAATTAAAAACGCATACTTATATAATCAGAACATAATTAAATATCTATTTGTATAAATTTCATGCATGTTAGACTTTAGTAGCCTTCGTATTATATATACTACACCGTGTATACTTAGATGTTTAAAATATTGAGCTTCCTCAATCGAGATGTTACTGAATGGCTGCAATATTTACGTATTTTAAAGTTGTTAATATATGCATTAAAGTTTTTGTTGGAGCTGCTAATAATATCTAGCTTCAGTTATGCTAAAAATCTTCGAAACAGCATTCGGGATTTTTCATGGTCTGGCAATTAAGCCTTTTTGACATGTTAGTAATAGAAGAGCTATATTTTTTCCAAAATTCATAACACGAGGTATTTATTACGTTTCATAATACACGGTTGTGGTTTATCTTCCCATAATATAATTAATGAAGAGTTTTTGATGTTATCTACTAAGGCTGATGAGCTGTTTCTCATACTGCAGGAAGCATTTTGTAAGGCTGGAGAATGAGAGCAAAGGAATTAAGAAAATTGCATTTTGTGTTTAAGACCTTTTTGTTTATATTTTTCTATAAATATAAATAGTCCACGACAACATATAAAGCAGGTAGCTGTTGCATACTTTTCTTAGCTAATTAATTTTACCTACTCCAAAGTGGCCTACATATTTCCTCTGATTTTAGGATGTCATATCTTTTGAGATCAGTCGCTCCAAGTAGTTAGTATATATATATATATATATATATATATATAAAAAAAAAAAGATTTTAATCAGTGCAAGTTCGTAGAGTCAAACTAATATAATTTTGCAAAAAATATTGAATGATTTTGATAATAAACTAAACGTATTGCCTTTTTGATTACACTAATTTAACTTGTCGTTCCAGTGCAATGATTCTAGACTTGTATAATAGTAATTGTACAATAAGCTATACACTCTACAATGAGCTCTTCTACTTTTCTTCATGCTTCGAAAAGGCCTTGTTTCGTTTTATTTTCCCTTTTTTTATTTATTTATTTATTTATTTTTATAGAATAATTGGATAGGGGACGCAGAGGTCATTCTGTAGCAATCATATATAATTTCTATAGTTAAATTTCTTTTTTCTTTCACCTATGCAACAAAGCCTGAGGAATATACTTCAAGGAACCGCGGAAAATTAAATAAGCTTAAAGCGATATTACGTATCACAAGATAGACTGGACTAAACATAATGAATACTGAAGAATTTCTGTAAGAATTATTAAAATGAGTCAAGCTAGGTGAGTGAGTTGCATCTTAAAAGTGTAAAAGTTATCATATGTATCATGAATTATATGCATCTTTATTTAAATCATTCGGATTAAAAAAGAAAAACAACCATTGCTCAAGAAATATATATAATTAAGAACTAAGTTTATTGCTTTTAAATCTTTAGTTCGTTAATCAAAATAGCTTTAATTTGGAAGTTTAACTTATCTTTGCCGTACAGCCCAGCGCTGGAAGATAAAAATACTTTATTTCCGCAACGGCAACACATTGCTTTTAAATTGCTAAGTTTATTAACTAGATATTCATTAGATTGGCGAAAAATGTGAAATAATAAAAATACGGTACATCGAGTTGCTTCAGGTGGATACTATGTACATTTAATATTTGGTAGCTAAAGTTTACAGCTGTTTTTCCACAATCTGAAGAACCGCCAGACGCTCTTTATTATTTCATAATTGAGATGAAATAATATCCTGATATTAACACATTTATTTTTGCACTGAACATAAGAAACATTATTTAATGTTTGTTATCCACTAATGGTCAAGTAGATAGTCATGTAAAGCAAGTAGTTTCACTTGAGTCCCATTTCCCGTTTGAATATGTGAACTCATGGGCATTTTTATGCTTTTTTCCATGTTTAATACAAATACAATTTTCAAGAAGGCAACATTCTAAGACAAATAGCCTTCACCCTGTTTGCCATAGCCAAATGCTTAGCTTTGCACGTATTTAATATTTGTACAATCGTCCCGTGAAAGAAGTTAGATGCTTAATCTCTTTCTGTCGGAAGTCCTTTTAACACCCTAAAATTTGACTACCTAAAATGAAATACCCTCATATGCGGTTAGGTCGTAAATTTAGAACCCTTTTTTTCACGGGGGGGGTGAAAAGTAGGGAATAATCTTGCTCGTGGTCTTGGGGGTCGTTTAAACATCTAACTTCTCTACATTCAGTTTTATACAGAGGAAAATACAAATTGAATTCTTAGAATGAATGCAATTTTGTACAATGGAAATGTATTACTTAATGATAAACTCTAAGGTAAATAACATCTTTTTTTAAAGCCATAGGTGTAGAAAGACAGATATTTGTTACACGAATGAATTTGTAGTAAATATTGAGTTTTTCATTTCGAATGCTATGTTCCATGTATACTAAGTAGCTGAATATGTGAGATAATAATCATAACCGAATGGCTTTCAACCTTTTCACGACTAAGGACTGTTTCTCAATTACGTTGTGGTCGCTGCTCTTTGGTTAATTTTCTAATGACATATAAACAATAGTTGTTTTTATTTGAGACTTATGAATAAAATAACGCAAACTAGACTGCAGAAAATTCTTAAGAATGAAGTTAAATAATACTGAAAAATACATTATTGATGCACTTTTGTGTTATATATGTAGTAGTATTAACTACTACTATAATCCTTAAATGGAATCCTTAAATTATATATATCTATGTATAGGTATATATAAATGGAACCAAATATAGAACAAGGTATAAAATGTCTTTATTATACAATGTTCATGTATAATCGGTATATTTACGTAATATCAATATAAATAGTTAGTTAGGTTTCGTACATATATAATTTATTTTTATATTTTGTATTTTTTGTATTAGATTCAGTATTGTATACGTATCTAAAGTTTAATTTCTCTTTTTGGGTTACGACTTTAAGTGAGAAAGAATTGTTAGGGCCTTCATAGGGATTACATTATATACAATCAGTTAGGATGCAACTTTTCCTTTCTTTTAATCATTATATATATTGAAATACTACTTGATAAGTATACGTAAAATATAGCAGTTTTTTAAGCTACTTATTTATATATCTATTGTTTGGTCTGGTTTGTTTGATTATAGCAAAGCATTCGACGGTTATTTGCCTAAGGGTGCCTCGTGGAGAACTTTCTAAGCAAAACTGACTCTTATGCACGTTACACGTTGGGGAAACCTCGAAAACGCCAATACAGCCATCCCCGTCGATCCGGATTCGAACCCCGGATCGACCTGCCAGATTTTAACGACTTTACAGCTCAGCCGCTAGTGAGCCACACACACACATCCACACATATACATTAAATAGTATTTACATGTCGTTTATAAAGTATAATTGAGTGCAATTTAATCATAAAGAGAAAATATTCTACGGAATTACTTCACTTCGTAGACTTTTTGCTAAGCTTCACCATATTTCTTAAAGAGAATCGCAACGCTGATTCCATTTTTTCTACACTGAATTATATTTAGAAAATTATTTCACTTTGTTAGAGCTGAAAATGCAGTTTTTTAATTGAAGAATTTAAGGATAAGAAGAGAATTATACCCTTTTCTAATTATTCTTGAAGCATTAAATTTTTTTTTTTTTTTTTTAAAAAAGCGCACATTAATACGGATCACTGAACTAAAGTGCTCGATACAGGACAGATTAATTAGCTACTAAATTTTGATTTTCGTTGAGTAAAAATGAATTCATCTGCATTCTATAAGAAAGTAAATATTCAAGAATTTGTTTTTTTTTTTTTTTCCGATTCTCGCAGTTATAATATTTTTCTTAAGTATTCAGCTAATTCATATTCAAATATTCCAATCCATTACAATAAGTAATAAATCGATACAGTAAATAAATAATTAAAATCAATTAAATGGAATTTTAATTGATTTTAATTGCCATTTTCCCTGTGATAAAAACCCCTTTTTAGAGTTAAATAACAGTCAATCAGCTTTTGTTGGGGGTTCATTTTTCTTTATGGTATGCTTACGTTATATATGTATGTATTATGCATTGCTCATACTCGTTAATTGCAGCTTTTAATATTTTTTGGAAAAAAAAATCAATATGAGAATCCAGAAAATGATTCTTAGCGACGCTAAAACTATTATTACTAGGCACTCTCATGCCACAGTGTTTAAAAAAAAATCCCATTGTTTAAAGGTAGATTCTATGCTCATATTTTAGTCCAAAATTAAAAGCTGAGAGTCAAAATTAAGGGGGTTTCTCTTAGAAAGCCTCAATTAGAAGTAGTTATAGGAAAAGTTAATCAATACTTATAATCTTACGGATTAAACACTTATTCCCTATTTGATCACGTGTATGGCAAACCGATATTCGTCATTCATAAAGAAAAGAAAGGTGAATCAAAATGAGTTATATTCTTGTTTTTCCAACTGCAAAAACATCTTAAGATACTATCGGATTTAATCTTTAAATTATTCCAGTAATAATCAGAACAATGGGGGCCATTATTCTTAACTATAATTTACTAATGCAAATCCTATTTTGGTTTCAAATGGCTTTCATTAATTACGTTAATGATATACTGATGTACTGATACTGAATGAGACCTAAAAACACTTTTTTTTAAAAAATATATCTCCTCTTATCATCCTCGACACAGCCGTTTACTTTCCCCATTCCGTAATTAACGTCAGTCTCCTGCTGTTGACCGCATTTGCCAAGCCACCACCTAAAATAGCCTGCTGTTCGAAATTTTTCCGCGAGGGGGATAGCCTTATCGAGCTTTGCAATTATCCGGATAATTAAGAGCTTACTGTTGTCTGGAAGATTTGCCTATAACGGAAGCAGTTAACTAAGCAGTTAATTAAGTTTCATACATTGCATTTGTTAGATACAGCATTCTTTAAATAAAGTCTGCTAAAGGGGAAAGCTATTACTAAATGGTATCAAAAGATAGAGAAATTTTTTCTACAGCGTTGTAATGCATTTAACAATATACACATTTATTTTCTGCTAGTAATATTTTTGCTTATTTGACCTTGATAAAGGGATTAAAGGGAGGTATGCCTTTGCAGAGGGCTTTTTGAGGGAAACTGTCGCGTGTTTACATTATATAAAGGGAAAACTACAGAAACACTAACCCAAGGACCGAACTCTGTTTTCAAGGAATGGTCTTATTCACTAGGCCACTAGTAGACCGCTTCTTGGTTGAATCATCTGCATGTATATCCAAGAGTATTACTCTATAATCATGAAGACCGAATTCTGTGCGCAGAAAAGGCAATTTAAGAAACATATTGATGCCGAGGGCCGCATTATGTTTCGTTTCGCAAAAATTAAGGAATGTGTCCTTGAACATAAAACACAAACTATTTCAAGGTAATAGTTACATTTACTTCAAATTACTTTGGTTGTAGTATTGTAGATAGAATACTGCCGAGACATACGAAAAGTTTACACCGTTTTGAATAAAATTTTCGTAAAATATTTGTCTTTAAAAACATAACTATGCTATCAAAAAAACTGCATTTACTCTGCCTTTTCATGCATTGTACGATATCGGCACACAAAGCACGGAAAATATACATGCATCAGAAATCTATAATCGGTAAAAATGGTAATGTTTATCAATATTCGCAGGCCGCAGAAAGATAATTCACTGGGCACATGAGACAAGCATTCTTTCAATTGGTCACACATGTATTCAACGCTAAATATCAAAAATGGAGAATTCTTATTACTCGATTTATGTATACTTCATAGTAGTAAATGATAAAACAGACTAGTGCCTCTGTACATTTTATGCATTCGTGACATACTCTATTTTTAAATTTATTTGAGAATTTCTAGTCTACGCAATTCTAGTTTGCGAATTTTTTTAAACTGCCGCTAACGAAAACGTTCTCTGTAGTATTAAAGTTTTTGAAAAAAGAAATCTTCATTTTATTTATTTGAAAAACTTTACATTTAAATCGAGCTACTCAAGAATCGGCTATCTTATTCACTTCGTATCAAGAAAAATGCGAAAATATTCAACATAAAATTTACTGCAAATTCTTGACAAAATTCTGTATAAACTTTTATTAAAGGACTTTTATATGTAATCGGAAATACACAATAGACTGGCTTTTTGAAAAACGAAAACTTGTAATAAAATAAAAAGTACTGGGGTAAATTATTCGAAACTACCTTAATATTTCTTAAAATATCTCGCATGAATTTCAGAAAAGGTAAATCTGATTAATTTTTAAATAAATTTTTACTTATCATTAATTAACTGGAAATAATTTTCTTTTCCAGTTTAATCCATGTTTTGAGAAGAAGTATGCCTATATCAAGAAGTACTCGTACCCATTTCATTTACCAGTTCATCATACTAACATTACTATTTTTAAGCATTGGATATCATGAATTGTTACCAGATCGGAAATTTATACTCTTTCTTGCATTCATTCCTATGTTCTGCTATCAGTTTGTGATCTTATCTTATTGCACCGGACTGTTATCAGTGCCAAGCTGGATGAACTTTGAGGATTCTCCACGTAAAACAGAGTCACGAACAGAAAAAAATGCTCGTAAGTAAAAATTGCTGAAGCACTGTTTTAAGTACCATCGAAAATGTATTATCTGTGTATGCCGTATATAAATGAATACTTAGGATGAAACCTTGCGTGTAATTTAATTTTTCAAAACTTAAGTATGAATGCCTTAACTATTAATTTCTATATTTAATGACAAATGGCTATTTATACTATTGAAGAAATAATTTTACTTGTTTTAAAGTATATTAAACTGAGTTTTAATTCAAACAGTTTTCTTTAATGATCAATGAATGATTCCTAAATAAATCCACGAAGATTTAGTTCATACCTAAAGCATAGAAGGCATATTTTGTAGTTACAAAATTCAGCCTTAATAGGCGATATGTTTAAAATGTTTAAGTGATATTACAGTTCAAAGGTGTCTACTATAAATTGTTTGATTATTTACTTGTTATAATTGTTACTGTTATTAAATTGTTTTCTAGAATGGATAGGCTTAATATTTGACTAAATCGAATCTATGTAAGTAATTAAAATTATAATAAATTATTTGCCTTATTTTAAAGATGATATCGGATGCTTCTGTGAAACAATGTTTTCGTGCATGTTAATTCAGGTATAATTCTAATAATTCTGAAAGATAATTTAGTAATTCAATGAAATATTACTTGATTTAAAGATTCAAAACATTTTAAAAATTAGTTTCACTGTGACATACGATTTGAAGAAAAAATGTGGATTAAGTTATGACTATTAAAATAAATTGTTTTAGAGAACATCATGCGTATATATTTATCAGACAAGATATGGTAGGAAAATATGCGTACTTCAGACCGCTTAGACTCATTTCATTTAAATTTCTTTTCTGTTTAAGAACATTTAAATCAAATTTTAGCTTTGTAAGGAGGCCGAAAATATTTAACAGTAGAATAATAGGCCTACTTCAGACCGATTAGACTCATTTCATTTAAATTTCTTTTCTTTTTAAGAACATTTAAATTAAATTTTAGCTTTGTAACGAGGGCGAAAATATTTGACGTTCTTTAAAATTCCAGTATTAATTTTGATTCTTCTTTGCTTCCTTTTGTACGAGTTTTGCACTCGCATAAGTTTAATCTATATTAAAAAATTTTTAATAAATTAATAAGCGATTTAATAAAAGCTAGATTTTTAGTTACAGATTTCAAGATAAATTTTCAACTAAGTCTCCTTAACATGGAAAAATTTAAAAGCTCCATTTATTTTTCTCTTTATTTAGCACAGAAAAAGTCGTAGCAATATTAATGATTTCTGGTGTTTTCTATTCAAAAGAATGTATTCTCTTTTCTTTACTTGTAAATAAGAAATAAATTGTCTATTTAAATTCCTAAATAGCTTGTAATCAAATTTCTTGTATTAAGTTTCACAATCTAGTTTTAAATATTGAAATTGGAGGTTAAACTAATTTTAAGCACTAAAAAATTTAAACCAAATTTTAGTGATCTCCAGTCACCAACTTAGTTATTTAAAACTTTCAAAATTTTTATTTTGGTAGTTAGTTTTTTTCCTTTTAATATTTTTCAGAGAAATCATTAGGCGAGCAAGAAGTTCCTGACTTGCAGATGTCGAAAAAACGAACAGCATTAACCGACTATGACAATATTTCTAGTGGATGCCTCTTTGAACCAAATCGATACACTTTAAGGAATTGGAAAAAAGAGCTTGACAATATCGAAATACCCTCTGCTTTTCTAGATTCTAAAATTGTTGAACAGTGCAGAGATTTTCGAACTCACGAGTCTAAGCATTCATTGCCAAGATCTAGAACATTTCAGACCCTTGATTTGGAGTCTGATTTCTCGAAGAGTTATTCTTTTCCTTTTCGCCAAAAGAGGTTCGGAAGATTGAGAAAGTCTAAAGAAAATCTGAAACAATCGAATTCATTTCTTAATATTCCATGCCAATCTTCAGAATATTCTGCAGCCACTGATCAAGAAGCCAGACGATTCAACATAACTGTTTCAAAGGCTGAAACAACAAAGAATCTGGTAGACGAGCTTACTGGACAAACAGAAGTACCTGACCTTACCCGGTTGGAGTCTGATGGATCCAACAGTACACTCGATATTAAAAATCTACCTTTCAAACCGTACACTTCTAAGTTTTCTTTAGGACACATGAATAAATTGAAAATTGAAATATCTAACAGATTTTCCAGGAGCAGGAAGCAAGGAAAGACAGAAAATGAGGACGTAGGCTATAAAGCTGGGAAAAGAACGCCAGTTTTTTCTAAAAGAGGATTTTGTTCTACTGAAAATATTTCTTCGGAGCCTACGCATAAGAAAGGAATAAGATTTTATGTTCGTCAAAAATTTGGGAATAAAGGAAGAACGACTGATATATCCCGAGAAAGTGGATTATTTCAGACAGAAAATTTCGAAATAAATGAGCAAAAGCCAGCATTTAGGTGGTATAACGAAAATAAATGAAATTAATAAGAAGATTTAAAATAAAAGCAGCAGATTTAAACCGGAAGATTCTTAGATCTCATTTATTGAAGATATTTGATATTCAGAGAAGAAATAAGAAAACATATAGTTTAAGGTTACGAAGAAAATTAATTCGGTAACTTTTGTAGAAGTTTCTTTCATTAATCTGAAAAGATTCCACTTTGAGAATTAACAGTTGCTTAAAATACTGAATATCTCATGCCTATTTCAGATTTCTTCCATGATCCTTCTACAAGTTTTCATTGTTTGACGAATAGGATCACTAGAAACCGAGAGATTTAATTAGTATTGAATTATTGCGAATATCAAAAACATTATGGTATTCGTAACATTATGGTAACATTTGGTATTCGTATTGTAAATTCTTAAATAATTAAAAGAACCTTTTAAAAGTCTCTCTTTGATCTTAAGGTGACTTAGCAATACTTTTTGTAGCAATATTTTCTATATTATTTATTTCTTAGCAATATTTTGACTTAGCAATGTTGAATTTTAATTGCCGAAAAGATTTGGACCTAACAAAGTTAATTTACTTGCATTTTGGTTTAGATAAGTATTGTATATGAAAGCAGTAAAATTAATTATATCCTATTCTCTACCAATTCTGTTTGTATTACGACTCGTGCCAAGAAGGCAGTCCAAAATGTTGAACGAAAGGTGCATTTAAACAAAACAAAAAAATTTCTGGTATTATCCATAAAGCTGTAACTTGTATTAAACCCATCTTTGTGTGGTGGCACTTGCATCTTTGATATTAAAAATTGAAAATCTGATGTAAACAGAATTATCATAAGTGCCTTGATGACAGACTTGTACACGAAAGTAGGCTTTTTTTAATATACTGCCAAGTATTTGGCTTTTGTTCTATAAGCAGAAAATGTGACAAAATATTTGGCTTAAAAATGGTTTAATTTTCAAATCTTTTATGTTTAAATAGTCTTGATGTAATTCTTAGAGAAAAACTTTTTTTTTTTCCAACGCATGTAGCACAAAGTACAAATTTGACAAATAAATTGAAGTAATCAGGTTTGTGTCTTCTTGAATTTTATTAATTCTTTTCTGGTCCTCTATTGTTATTTACGTTTAGGATACAAAGTTCTCCGAATAAATTTGCTTTTACCGAGTTTCAAAAAATTATACGTGATTGAAGAGTGCAGATTCAATACCATCGAGATGGATACCATTGGGATATAACTCATTGGTATCGGTAGAGTTTAGTTCAATAATTCAGAGAAACAGTATCGCGCCAAGACCTCGGACGTTGTATCAAACATTTTATACATGCAGAGCTTGTATATTTGTATGGACATTTTTGTTCCATATTGTAGATTTCAAACATTCTAGAAGCTTTTAAAAGAAATTATTAAACTAGAATAATTTCAGTGCTTGATAGTTTGCCTTCGTGTGATTAAAGCAAAGCCTCAAATGTGAAGCCTCAAAAGGCTATTAGCCTAAGGAAAGAGATGCCTTCGTGGAGGACTTTATAAGGGAAACTAGCTCATGTACACATTGCACATGGGGAAAACCACGAAAACGTCCATACGGGATTCGAACCTCAGACCGAAATACCAGTGTTCAGCGACTTTATTACTCGGAAGCATGTGGCCCTATTTGATAGTCTGAGGTGCTTACAAATAAACTAACTTCTAATATTACTTTCTAAAATTGGCTAGTTCTTCATGGTGATTGTAGAAATTGATCAAGACAGTCTCATCTGAATTATTTAGGCAAGTAGGGGAAAAAAATAATTTCCTTTTAAAGTTCCTAAGTTCTCTCCGAAAATGTAAGGAAATTGACCTCTTATTTTTGTTCTTTTTGCTGAGCTAGTAAAAGTAAAACAAATTACTTGACTCTCATTCTTGAAAGTAGCACTAGAAAGAAATACTTTGAGAATTTTCTACAAAAGCTGTTCATGACCGTATTACCTAAATAATAGAACATAACAGAAGAACAGACCACTACTGCTACCTATAAGGTACGCAAGGCCCATACCAATGACAGACGCCATCTTGCTCTCCTTGCCACAATAAAATTTGTAGATTTGTTCTGATGTTATTGTCAAACATAAAGAAGTCACAATAATATGCAAAACAACATGCAATCTGCAGGAAAACTAAAATTTCTTAAGACTTGAATTTTAGATTTCTTTCAATAATTAAGAATTTTGTAAAGCTATACAATCAAATCTCTAACGAAGGTGTTGAATCCCACGATAAACGTCGCTAAATGGAGGAATTGATACAATGGAAATTATGATAAAATAAGATTTAAGATAATTTTTTTTTAAATTTTAAATGCGAAATAGTTGTAAAATGAAATTTAAATGAAAGTTACGCACGTTAATGTATCCATGCCATCAAAGTTAAGTATAAAAATTACAAATTAATTTCGAAAATAAATTTTACTTTAATTTTGATTGTCGGGAATAACATTTCGTGTCATAAGTTGTTTTTGTAATGCACAGGGAAACGTTTTCTGGTAAACTTTCTTAAAACTGAAAATCGTGACATTTTGAAGTATCAATTGAAGATTTTGTACATTCATTTTCAATTGCGTTCTGGCTGTTATGTTTTATGATCGCCAATATGTCCTTCAGTAGGAGTTCTTGAGGTCTCACCACAGAGTCGTAGCTAGGGTTTTCAGCGCCCAAGGACAACTGAAGATTTCGCGCCCACTACTGCTTGCCAAGGATGGAAAACATTTAATTCTAAAATGTCGTAACATCAGTTTGGCGCCCCTTGGATTCTGCGCCCGGGGACAGATGCCTCATTGCCACCCTCTAGCTACGCCCCTGTCTCACCATCGTGATCTATAAAATTGTTCATTATTCTTCATTTGTCTTTGATTTTTCAGTCGCAGCAACATATTCAGTTTGTCATCTTGCCGTCATTGACACCAGTTTGTTCTAAAGTTTTGGCAATCTCCTTAGCTTTTCCTAGTATCGATGGCTCCGATACCGGTACATTTTTAACTCTCATCCTGCTCAGCCATTTCAATGGTATTGAGCCCACCAGCGGCCGAGCGGTAAAGTCGCTGAACACTGGTAGTTCGGTCCGAGGTTCGAATCCCGCGAACGGGCTGACTGCATGGGCGTTTTCGTGGTTTTCCCCATGTGTAACGTGTATACGAGCCAGTTTCCCTTGGAAAGTCCTCCACGAAAGGCATCCCTCCCCTTAGGCAGATAGCCCTCGAGGCTTTGCCATAATCACACACACACACAACGGTATTGATAAACGCAAGTTTTATTAACCTTTGGCACTTCCCGATCGGCGGTATTAAAGCTTTATGAAATTTTGTTCAGATTTTTCAGGATTATCGATAAACTATTTTGCAAAATATCGAATGTTAGGGCGGTGTCTTTACACCTCTGTCTACTTCGAGAATCAATATTTGTTCTTTAAGTGTTAGACACTTTCGTTTCGATATTTTTTATCATTCAGTACATAACTAACTTTAGATAGGATTTGCCGTATAAAGCCACAAACAGCAAAAATAAAAATAAAGGTTAAGTATTAGCTGCACGTTAATTGGTTTGCGAAACAGGATTGGACGGGGAATGTTTAGGAAATAGGGTAAAGGAAATTAACACTTTTAAAGAAGAAGAAAAGTCTCGAAAAATCACGCATTCGAAAACTTCGTTAAGCAGAGCATGTACTTGAAGTTTTTTTATATAAGTAAATTCGCATCTCGGGCAGAATTCCGCAAAAAACCGGTAAATAGAGGAATTCTTAAAATAGTGTTAATTAAAGGTTTGACTGTATGTGTGTATATTTTAATACTGCGGATAAAGAACAAACTTAATATAACTTCAAAATTTGGAAAATTTTGTAACCATTTGATTCCATTTAAACAAATGAAAACCGTTAACAAATAAATTAATCTAGATAAACACATCTTCCCCACATTTAAGTTAAAAATTAAGTATTGCTGTTTCAGTGGGTGAGTGAACTGAGGTGAAAAACATGATTTTAAGTAGCAAAGATGGTACTTTTATTTGGAACTAGCATCTCAAAAGTTATTTCTTTTAACTGTGTTAACGGTTTTCTTATGGAGGTCGTCTGAAAATCCTGTACTGTTGCAAATGCAGTCTTAATAATTATTTACGCTAAATTTAATAAAATTCATTTTAATCATTGGCTCAAACTGCCATCTTATCGCCAACAAGTAATTTGTTACTTTACCATTTAAAAGTTCATTCATGCAACCGTAACAAATTTCCTTTCTCTCTCGTGCTGCATTACTAAATAGTAAAGTATCACAGTTCAATTACTGGAAAGCTGAAGAATTAATCTATTGACTGTGAACTATGGAATCGGTATAATTTTGTATCTGTTTAGAAAAATAAAATGTCGAAAATAAAGTGGCAGGAAGGAACAAATCAGATTACACTTAGCTTTTACGTAGACCTCAATGTTGCTATTTATCGATCATTTCAAACTTGGCATCTCTAAGTATTGTAATTATCATCTAAGTATCAAACTATTGCCAGATTTATTTATTAAGTTTTCAACAATTAATCAGAATTTTAAAATCCATATATTTTCCTGCCTAAATTATATGATCTATATACGGTATATATGCTCTTCATATTACTTTTCTTTACCAAAGAATGTGATAAATGTACAATATTTAGTCGTCACTAAAACGTCACGTCTGTTTTTAGTAGCATAGCTTAAGTAATTTTTCCGACATCCCTCAGAAAGACGTGAAATTTAATATGCTTGATCTAGTTCTACTGATCATCTAAAGCTGATCTACGTGTACTGCATAATTTTATTCATTTTCTGCCTACGATGATTAAGATTATATGCAATGAATAATTTTATTGGCTCTAAGATAAACACCTATGGTAACTTTTTCGAAAATCAACACATCATACGTAGCCATCACCCATTACCCATATTTGAGTCTATCAAACAACTGGCATTTGTGAGACTTGGTAATAAACACCCAGAGAAACATTTCATTTTAGGCATTTGGACTGTGAATTAAAAAAAAAAAAAAAAAAAAAATCGAAAATTGACCTGAAGCTCCCATATTAAGATCTCCGTTCCTACTAATTTGAAAATTCAACAGAAATGTAGACAGCCTTTCATTTTTTAAACTAGCAAGTCCGTTTTAAAATTTAGTCTGTCATGCGTGCTTTTAGTAGGTCTACTTTAAATGCTACTTAACAGAAAGTACGTAAAATAAAATAATTTAAGAATCAGATTATATCTTTCGTTTTTGTTGTTGTTCCGCTGTATAAAAAAAAAAGGACGAAGAATTGAATGTTAATTTTTATATATCAATTTACTTAAAACAAGAGCATTACTAATACATAAAATAAATCTAAAAATCATGATTTAAATCTTCAACATTATTTAATTCATAGAACTTATAAGGTATTTTTCCCTCCCTTTCTGCATGCCTTCGTGGTGTAACGGTAGCACACTTTCGAGAGGTCCAAGTTCGAGTCCCGGCGAGGGCATTGCTCATTTTTCATGTTTCCTGCTTTAAAATAACCTAATGTCTCTCTACAAACTGTTACATAGAAAAGAACAACAGTTTTATATTACGAGTAATTAATGCTAAAGTGACACCATTTTAAGATATTGGCATACAAATACTTTCCGCTTCGTTTTCACGAAAACATGGATGAAAATATAGTTCAGGTTTATTTATGCAATAACTAAAGAAACATAAGATTTAAAATCATGAAACAGGTTTAGGGCAATTATGAAAAAGGCATTAATTACCCACAAAGACATATAAGACAGAAAGAATGTCAGCCTAAAAAAATAAAACATATTGTCGTATTAGTCTTTCACATTAGCCAAAGATCACGTCAAATCCCACTTTCGACTATTGAGAAAATCAGACATAGAAACTATTGATTTGATCGACATAAATGGGAATAAAACATTAATAAATAATCATCTTTATATTTGTCCTAAACTCTAGTCCCTATAGCCCTTCTGATTGCGTCTGGAACAACTTAACGCATTACAGTCAAAGCTACTATCTCTACATCTTCCAGTGTACTTT